CCTCATCAGGGTGCCTCAGTCTTTCCATTTTCCAAAAATCCCAAGTTTTGCTCATTTTTCATTCACTGAGTCATCATGTCTTATTATTAGCGCTGGTGCTGAAGTTCTCTGTAGTTCTTTCTCTTCCCAAAACAGCCAGCAATTTTGGACCCCACCTCTGCACTGTGACTGGGTTTCAGATATCCTTTGGATCCGCTGCCTTTCAGGTTAGTGATGGATCTTCCCTTTTCTTACCAAATTGTTAAAAATAGACGAGAAATCACAGTCCCTCATTCTTCAGCACTTTGATTCTTTGTTTTTCTGTCAAGTTACATTCTCTTTATTTATTTAATTTTTTTTTGCACATCCTGTAAAACCTTTTTGCCAATCTTTCCTTGCATCCCCTCCTTTGGCACAAAGCAATATCAACACACAACACTAAATACCTTTGCAGCCTCTCATCTCTCAAATATTCTTGAAAGTTGCTCCTGCAGATGCAGCCCAGCAAGCAGTGCATCCTGCTGGCACAGCACCAGCCTCCTTTGCTCTTGCATAATTTTCAGTTGGCAAGCTGACCTTCTGATTGTGCTGCTCCTGCTTTAATTCTAATGTGATTGTTATCGATGCTGCTAATTGGAGGGAAAGCCAGCCACACACAAGCACTGTGCTGTCTCCTCCCTGTCTCTTCTCCAGCAACCCACCAGAACAGCTTGATTTCACCAAATACATGTTTAAAAGGGCAGTACCCGTGGACAGACAGCAAAGGCAGGGAAAACACTGGGCTAATTGCTATCTTCCTTCATTAGGCAGCCTGCTCCACGAGGCTCCAGCAATTAAGAATGGTGAGGAACGAGCTGGACAGGAATTGTTCTGATGGAGAGAAGCCTGCTGTGCAGCCTGGCTGGTAAGACCTGATGCCCACCATTGCCAACAGCATCACAGAATGGGGACAGGTGCTCACTGGGTGGGATGAGCACTGGTAATTCCTGGAGCACATCTCTCTGCTGGAAATACTTTGCCTAGAAAGTGCCTTTCTCTTCATGGCTGTGTTGTTTGGTGGCATTTTAGTGAACCTAATGGCTAATAGCTTCAGATCCTGCTTTCCAACAGCCCTGCTTGTAAGCCAGAGTCCCCAGGATGGATTTGTGCATGGATGTGCAGAGCTGCAGGCAGGTATTTCTCCTGGCACTTGGTGCCATTTGTTCCTCCTCACATGGCAATCAGTTCCTTTCTGTATTTTTTGCTGCCTTGTCACTTCTTTAGCTCTGTCCCCACGTTTAGTCTATGGCCAGCTACAAAAAGTGAACATGCTGAGTCCAAGATCAGGGGCAAACACTTAAGCAACCTCCTTCCAGCCCAGTATTTCCTTGATATGTGCAACTCCTTGTTCTTCCCTAATCAAATTCTCATCTATCTAGCTGTCACACCTCCAAACCCACTTTTGCCAGTTAATTATGATTGCTCTCTTGTGATAATTTTGCTTAAGCAATAGATTGAGCAGAGGATCAATGGAGCCCATCCCTTTTTGAGACAAGGATGGCTGTAACAGGTGACAGTCTGGCTCTCGGGCAGATAAGCAGCACGTTTGGGCTGCTGGAGATCCTGGATTTTGATGTATTACTTTTTTTCTACTTTATGTAGTTTATTTTCTCAACTGCTTTCCTGCAGAAGGCACCACGTTTGTAAGAACAGCAAATGTTCTAAGCCTCTCTCAGCCTCTTGTCTTAGATGACAGTCACATTCTTCTCCATTAAATATGATGTTCTGTGGCAGGATTCAAGCTGGATTCTCGCTCTGGATGTCTATTCCAAGCTTTCAGATGGTGGCATACGAAGGTAGAAGTGTTCCCAGAGCTCTGTGCATGAGGATGGCACCTGGGAGGACCCACCACTTCGCTGTCACCACCAGTAGGATTTTGTGTCGTGTCATTCCTGGCAATATTTGATTGTGGGGACGTGGTGATGTACGTAGGTTGCTCCGAAAGTAATGCCTTCTATTTATTTCCATTCAAACTACAACAGATATAAAGAGTGCAGCTACAAAACACTGTTCTTTAATGCAACCACCACGTTAGCCATGTGTTTTTGGCTGTGATGGACAAGAGCCTGTGTGCCACTCTTGTAGCCAAATCTGGAATGTACAGCGAGCTGCGGTAGGACAACCCAGCCGGGATTGGATGGGGTCTGACCTTACAGCGCTGCAAGAGAAAGGTTGTCCTTTTCTCTGGCCTTAGAGTAGTTCGGGCATCATTTTAGTCAGCGCCGTGACGTAGCGCCCAGGGTGACGCAGTTCGAAGGGCTCTGGCAGAGCAGCCGGCGGAGGAGGGCAGCCGCTCCGCAGTCCGCAGCGCCCTCTGCTGCAACGCAGCCCGCGGCTTCGGCCCCGTTTGCCCGCCGTCAGCCGGGGCTGGAAGTCCTCCGGGCTCCGTTTGGGAAGGTGCCTGAGAGCTTTCCCTCCAAAAAGGGGGAAAAACCCCCCAAAAAGTGCCGCTCGGTTTTGGCAAAGGGAGCCTGGGGGATTGCTGGAGCTGGATGTGAAGAGGAAGATGGATGAGGTGAAAGGGCATCAGGGCAGCACGCGGCGTCAGTGAGGTGCAGAGCTGACAGCACGCAGCTCATCATGGGCTCGTTAGCTGCCCGAGCAAACGGGCTGTGGGTAAGGCAGGAGGCAGCGGCCAGGTCCTGGTGCTCACAGAGCAACCGAAGGGACAGAGAGCATCCAGAAACTATGTAAAGAAAATGGAAAAGAGATTGCTCCATGGGACAGCCTGAAAAACGAGATGCAGCTGCTTTGGAGGAGTCAGGAAAACCCAGTTGCTCACAATTACCTTTGTTTCTGCATAAAGGGGCTGGAAGAGGGAGAGAGCCTTGGTAGTGCTTTGCTGGGGGGCAGCTGGGGTTGCAGGGATGGGTACAAACCCGGGGTGCATCAAATTCCTCGCTGTCCTGCAGTTCAGGGCTGCTGAGCTGCAGCATAGCAACGTGAATGGCAGAGAAAAAGCTCCCAAATGGAGTATTTGTGTATACAGATACAATATATATACAGCTCTTAGCTGTACACATACAGAATACTGCTCTTAGCAGAAGGGAGGGGAAGGACTGAAGGCTTCAGTGCAGTCGCTTCAGCCCTGCAAGGATTCATTTAGAAGATGGCAAAGTGGAGCCCGTGCAACATGGTGGGCTGAATTTACAAAGGTGTCACAGTCAGATGTCACAGGTCACACCTCTGCAGCTGGATAGTGATAGGACAAGGGAGGATGGTCTCAAATTGAGACAGGGGAGGTTTAGGTTGGATATTAGGAGGAAGTTTTTCAGCCAGAGGGTGGTGAGGCACTGGAACAGGTTGCCCAAGGAGGCTGTGGATGCCCCATCCCTGGAGGCATTCAAGGCCAGGCTGGATGTGGCTCTGGGCAGCCTGGGCTGCTGGTTGGCGACCTGCACATAGCAGGGGGTTGAGAGCTGGATGATCCTCGAGCTCCTTTTCAACCCAGGCCATTCTATGATTCTGTGTCTTGCAACTCAGAGCTTGAGTACTTCAGGCATAGCACCAAGATCCTGTGGGTTTAGGAATCTTAATGTGCTGCTGCTCAGATGCGATAGGCTTCCAAAGGAAGTCTCTCCCCATCTTTATTCAGTGCTCAGTATGCCAGAGGCTCAGCAATGTGTGCTCACTGCTGGGCACAGAGAAGCAATACCACTTCAATGGGATGTAAAGGAGCAGCGCTGCTGGCTCTGAACTTTCCTAACACTTCCTTGTTTATGTAGTAATGCCTATGGGACAAAGGGTGCACTGATAGTATTTCTTCTTCTTTTCCCATGAGAAACACAGAGCCAGGAAAAAGGCCCACGTAACCACTGCTCACTGAGATGCATAGAGAGATCAAAGCCTCCAGACACTGGTCGTCCACCTCAGCTCCTGAAGGCAGAGTAAGGAGTTTGCAGCGTATAGAAAACATCTGCTCCTTTTTGGTACTTAAAAGTGATAAAATGAAGGAAGAAAAGCCAAGCTAGCATCAGCCACGCAGCAAATACATGTCAGTGTTTTCTAGAAAAGAAAGCACATGCTAAAGGGCTTTTGAGGTTAAGCATGTGTTGCTTAAATTCTGCAAGGTGTAGCATTTGCCAGAGCTTTCTTCACACAAAACCAGCTCTTTTCCAGCACACTCACACTAGGGTTGAAGGATTTAACAGTTTCTAAGAAGGACCCGAGGTACCTGATGGTATGCATCCTAGCAAAATTAAGATTTGCTTTATGGAATATGTAGCAGAGTCCATAAAATACATCCAAGAGCAGCAGCGTGGTCACAGCATACAGCAGAACAAAGTATCACAAGATCAGAAAAATAATGCTATCACAAGGGACAGTGTCAGAGAATTGCTCCAGTGCTCTGAAGTAGCTTTCCTGGATGAGTGAGCCAGCAAAGGGCTCCCTGCAGGTAACAAGGTCCTCAGATCAGCATGCTCCCCCCACATTGCACACTGGTCCCAATTCCTGCTGCTCCCAGGGCACACAGGTCCCAGCACCTACTGGTCCCAGGGCACACTGGTCCCAGTATCTGCTGCTCCCAGGGCACACCAGTCCCAGCACCCTCTGGTCCCAGCACCCAGTGACCCCATTGCACACTGGTCCCAGTACCTACTGCTCCCAGGGCACACCGTTCCCAGCACCCACTGATCCCATTGCACACCAGTCCCAATACCTGCTGCTCCCAGGGCACACTGGTCCCAGTATCTGCCGCTCCCAGGGCACACCAGTCCCAGCACCCACTGGTCCCAGCACCCACTGGTCCCATTGCACACCAGTCCCAATACCTGCAGCTCCCAGGGCACACCAGTCCCAGCACCCACTGATCCCACTACCCACTGGTCCCAGTACCCAGTGACCCCATTGCACACTGGTCCCAGTACCTGCTGCTCCCAGCACCCACTGCTCCCAATTCCTGCTGCTCCCAGGCATACCAGTCCCAGCACCCACTGGTCCCAGCACCAGTGGTGGGGGGAGCATAGTGGCAAGGACATTTTTTTTTACTCAGGAAGCTTTTAGTAGGATGGCATCAAGTTTAATCTGAAGAAGGCTGTTATGTGAAAGATGTAGTTACTTCTGCAGGAAGCCTTCAGAAACGTAACCTGGGAGGTAGCACAAGCACTTCTGACAGCGTTAAGATGAAGATACTGTGAACTTAGTAACGATTTCTGGCAGGAATGCTGTTAAGATTGACCTTTATTAAGTATTTATAATATGGGTAAGGATGTGTACATTCTGTTACATACCCAGAGGGGTATCAATCAGAGATCCTGCAGTTCAGACCTCTGAGAAGTATATTTATATTAATTAATTAGGAGCAATCTGCCTCAAAAGCATGACCCATTTCATGCTTTGAGTGGTATTTTATTACAGTGGAGCTGCAAGAAAACTCCATGCTCCATGAACATGCACTTGATATGCAGAAGGCAGACTTCTGCACACTGCTTATTTACACACTTAAGTTCCTGGATTTTTGTTTGAGTAGTTCAAGAAAAGTCTGTTTGTCTTCGTTATTTGGAAAGCTTCCGTCTTTTCCTCTTCCACTGTTTATTGTCTGCATCTTCAGTATCATCAGGAGGCTCTGGTAACACAAAGCCATCAGTCATTTTATAGTAGACTATTGTGGAATCTGTCTCAACTATGGCCAAGGTAATTGACAGCGGGGTGTCAGGGTCGTCGTGGGGGAGAGCAGCTTTCTTCATGATTTCTCTTAACCTAGAAGAGAAAACAGTCAGTTAGAAAGGACCTCATAACAACCTGGCACAGGAAGAAGCTGGGTTTTGTAGGTCTCTATACCGATGACATGAAGCAGAAAACAGTTTTTCCTACTGCAGTTTCTCTAACTTGAGAGGTATTTTACACGCTATTTTATTTTCTTATCTTTAATACCATTCCTGAAAAAACACATGCTAGCCCCCCAAAAACTCCTGCAAAGCTTGGGAGTAATAGAAATTGCACTTGAGCCTTTCAACAGGGCTCCAGCACAACTGCTATTTAAAAAGCTGGAAGGAGATTATCCAGTAAAATCCTGTTTTGTTCTGCAAGTTTGTCTGCATAGAGAAGGTGTAACATCTGCTCTAATACAAATCCAAATTCCTATAATCATTTAGAGGAAAAAAAAATCCCCCCAAAAAACAAAACAACAACAAAACCCACACAGAACCAAGTGACATCTTCCATTTGTAGAGATAAGCCCTCCAATCTCTGTGCTACAGTTCTCTACGAGACTATGGAAGACCCAGGAACTGAAGCCAGGCTTTTCTACCTCCCTGTCTAGACTAGAAGCCACAAGACTAATGATGTTCTTCAGGAGAGTCAGCATAAATAACATCTTCCTTCAAAATTCAAGACAAAGTTATGCAATTTTTCCTGTTCAGTTTAAGAATAATAAGCTACTTATTTTTCAGCTCAGAGCTGAGAACAGCACTGCCCCAGCAAGCACTGCTGCAGCAAGCTTCCTCCTCAGGAACCAGAAAGAGATGCTTTCCCATACGAGCCATGCCTCAAACACTGCAAGGCCTTCTGGCAGTGCACCTAGTGAGGAGCTTCATGCACCTGTGGGTGACAAGGGCTTGGGAAAGGACTGCAGCTGTCCTTTCAGAATGCTGGATGTGCACAGAGCAAGCAGCCGGTGTCACACCTCAACGGCTTCTGTCTGAAGGGAGCTCTGAACAGAAGCCAGTGGTGGGGCCAGGCTGCTGGCAGCAATCCCATCAGGAAAGAACTATCCATTGTTCTCTGGCAGCAGAGGTTAACCTCTCCCTGGCCTGAGAATGAGAAACAGAAAGAAAAATAAAAAGTCAGGAACTGGCACAGCTTGCTTGGAGAAATATTTTGGGACCCCCCAAAACAACAAAGCCGTATTGAGCGTGCCCCGTGCTGTCAGCTAAGAATCCTTTATATTTTCTTTAGTAACTGTTACATTTATCTTCCTACTCTTTTAGGAGGTTGGATGGACAGCCAGGCATTAGATCTACGCTCCTCATAGAATCACAAAGGTTATAAATGACCACTGAGATTATCTAGTTGAACCTACCCCACCATGCCCACATCCCTCAGTGCCACATCTCCACAGCTCTTGAACACCTCCAGGGACACTGACCCACCATCACTCATCATTTCTTCTTACACCTTCAGGCACAGACACACTTTATCCCCCCACCATTTAGCACCTAGACTTAAAAATGTGCCTCGATCACAGAAGTGGCCAGGCTCTAACAGCAGATTTCTTTTCTCCATACAGGCAGCACCAAAACAAGAGCTTGTATTCATGCAGACCACAACCAGCACATCTGCAGATTAGTGGGATGCTATCTTTGAAGAGAATAAGCTTTGGAATTCAGGAAGCCTGTATCAGAGGCCTGCATTTCCGCTCCTCCCTGAAGGCATCCAACAAGGATGACAGCCAGCACGCTCACCAAGTTTCTTTGCAGCATCAGACATTTACAAGGAGTCAAGGAAGAACATCTGGCTTTGCCCCATTTCACTGTACTTGCTACCTGCCACAAATAGAAAGGTGAAACATTGAAGGAAATCTATATATTTTTAAATCCTTTTGAAGTGCCCAAGAACATGGGGGGAAGAAAAAAAAGCAAGAAGTGATTGATTCTATTATTCCAGGCCATCTGAAATGCAAAGCAATGCATTACTTGGTTCATCACCTCAGCTTGGCTCGTCCACAGGCTCAGCCTGGCTATGAAGGATGGGGACAGACACCCTGTACATGCTGTCTGCTTCAGATTTATGCCAGTGAGTGCCTGGTATAAAGTAAAAAGCATCCAGAGTCCTGGGAGAGCTCACAGAACAGTCAAGCATGTGTGCTGCTGCATACAGGGGGGAGTCTAGGAGTTAAAATACCCTGCAACCACTCCCTTCTCCCCCTCTCAAGGGAGAAAAGCCTTGAATGTTAAAACAGCAATACTCAGACATTTCCCACACAAAAAGGTGTGTTTTGAACAAAGGCCTCGTGAAAGGAAAAATATGTAAAGCTGGACACCACAGGAAACACTGGGAAGCTTCAAGTCCCACGAACAGAGTAAGATTAAACATTTTTTCCCAAATAATTATTGTCAGTTGTACATCACACAGTACCTGTTTTGCAGAACAGCTTGAAAACCCATCCCTAATGCTGATGGTGTCTGCATGTTCAGTGCAGTGCATCTGCTCCCACCAAGACAAATCCAAGCAGATGAAGCCCTCAGTTCCCACCTAGGAAGCAACCTCCTGTTCACCTCACATTGCAGAAGATGAAAGGAGTCTAATCTCAAACACATGAAGGAGATGCTATTATAAGAAGTAAACATCTGGCATTTCTAAGGCCCTTTGCTTCAGAAAACCTCGAGGGGATTTCTAGATACCTACAAACCACATTCAGCAATGATTGCTAGTTTTGTACAAAAGAATTAATTGAAAAAGCAGAATTAACTTACTGAACATCAAGCAACGACCACTGCAGTAAGGTAACATCACTGCTAAGGTCACACTGCATCTGCCCTCAGTGCTGCCTTCAAACTACATCACAACAGAGAATTTAGCGTTGTAAATAACAGCTTAAAAGTATGGTGGGTGAACTTCAGCCTTGAGATTTCAACTGATTGTCCAACCAGAACAGAATCATAAAGCAAAGAACGCTGGCAGAAAGTTTTGTGGCCAACACAGGTATTTCAGTGGTCTATCCCATGCTCTGCCTCTGGGAAGCAGAGAAAACACTGAGAGCTCAGAGCTGTTTTATGGAGGTTGCATAGTGCTCCATTGAGCTGAAATGGAACTACTGCCTTCCTTACCATAAAAGCCAAAGGCTTTCAATCTGCCCTTTGTACTGGGATGAATAATTCATTGCAGGCTCGGCCAACCCGAACAGCTCCCTCCCCTCCACGCAAGGCAGTGCTGAGAGTCCATACAAGTTGATACAAGCATTGAAATACAGGGGAAGAAACGTGTGGTGTGGGGCACGGTGCGTAAATGGACGCCACTGTTTCTTGGGATTTCTTTCTTACAGGAATATGGGATGCGAGAAGAAAGTCCTGTTTTTGTAATGGAAAAGAAAATAGAACCAAAGAAAACACCGCGTGCCTCACTCATCAGAGGAACGAGCTGAAACCCCAAGGAATATGAAGCCCTTTTTATTTTCCAGGGAAGCTGAAAAAGAAAACAAGCTGTGCAAAAAGGGAGAAATCAGTTTGGCAAAGTTCTGCGAGGTACACTGGCTGTACAGTTAGTCCAGTCAGTGCAGCATGTCTAACTCAGCTGCATAACCCACATCAGTCCCTTTGCAACTACTGATAAAGAGTTTTTAGCTAGAAGCCACTGATGACATATTTAATGCTTGATGTACTGTAAGAGTAAACTCAGTGCTAACAGCAGAACTACTGACAAAACTGAAGCAGATGCCAAACAGGGAGCACATCACACTTCTAGTGCATTTAAAACACAAGCGCTGCTTATAAGCAAAACCCCCTTAGATTAGAGGAAGATCTATTTTGCAAACTATAGATTTCACTTCCAACCACCAAATTTGTCTCTAAGGATGCTTATCGGCTTTAAAATGAAACATTAACATGTTCCTTTCCTGAAATCAAGTTACCACTGTAATAAAATAGTCCTTTTCCTTTTAGCCCATGCAGTGGAAATGCTAAGTCATGGCTTGAAGCAGAGATTGAGCGCCTGGTGGAAGGCAGAGCCAACCCAGGGGAGCTCTGGTGCATGCAATGAACCTGAGTGACCAAAGGGATGGAGCCAGGATCCACCCCTTCCCAGACCTCATTTAAGGGTTGGCAGTGAAGGTGAGGCCATCTCTTGGTGGTGATCTGTGCCTACCTAGGGCCTTCCAAAGGTAAGCAGCTCTTTTTCTTCATTTCTGTATCTGTGGCTGCTGCACTTGGGCTTGTTCTCGTTTGCTGCAGCCAAAGACTTTGCCACCCTGCTATTATCAACCCATGATAGTGTTACAGCCTAAAACAAACTCCACAGTCTTCATAGCCAGATGTAACTGACTTCATTCTTCAGTTCCAACACTTCCATATAACTAACAAAAGGGACAGGGACATATCATATAGTCTGGTGGTTCATTGCTTTGCCAATGTCATTTGTCCAGGACAGGCTGTGCCTGTACTAGATCCAGCATCTCATTTCTGCCAGCTCCAAGGCAGGGCTACCTGTACTTAACTGCTTCAACCCCTCTCTGAGGAGTCACAATTCTGGGCATAGAGCACAGCACACACAACAGCCCACCCTGCCTTTGGACAAAGGAAATCTCAAAGTAAGTTAAAAAACATTGAACGTTTTGTTGGGTGTTTTCAGGCCACTCCTATTTATCATTTGGGTGTCCTGCTGGTAAATTCCATGTCAGCTTCACTATGGCCTTTTAAGGACACTGTCCTTGGAGTGTCAGCCAAACAGGAATCTTCCCAAGCCACCTGGGAAGGCAGAGCTTGGCAGGGTTTTGCTGAAGTGGCTTTGAGAAGAAAATCACCCCTGCAGCTCCTATCCAGACTTACTGTTTAAGCAGGGAAATGCTGACCTGAACAGTGCCAACTGCTAGCGGCTTGTGCAGCTAGTGCAAACTTTCAAGGCCCAGGAATGAGGACAGACTATTTTCACATTCCCAACCACCTCCAATGGCTTCTGCTTCAACGTTAACTGAACTGCATTTATTTCCTTACAGCAAGTAACACAAAAACTCTGTCACTTCTGGACAGAACAGCGAAGTAACTAAGCATGCATGCTTTCCTGTCTACAGCTTTGGACATCAAATGAGAAAATATTATTTCAGACAGCATACATATAGCAAGCCTCCTGCTATCAACAGTCACAACACAGCTGCCAGAACAAAGAAGCAGTGACACTATAACTGTGTTTCCAATTTCTTTTTAATGAACTCCCTCTTCACTGCGGCACAGTTTTTGTCCATACCCCTCTGTTTTGTCTCCTGCTCCAGCAAACGAGCTGAGTTGGTGCTGTCCTTTCTCTACAAAGACACACCAGGCCTCTCTGATCAGTGCTGACCTCCTAATGAAATTCCAAGCATGGACACACACATTTTCAGTAACAGAAATTCCCAAAGCTGTTGTCAGGCAGAAGACAGTGCACGCTTGTATCAAGCACATACAGGCTTTAATGAACTCACCTGGCATTGAAGCCCAACATTTGGCTCACTTTAGTGACAATGTGCTCTCTGCATTTGCTCTATAGCAAAACCTAGTCACAATTTGTACTTTTAATCAATGTGACGCATTCACTCTTTGCTTCTCTAACACACATCCTTCCAGTAACAGATTCCATGCACGCTGGTGCCAGCAGCAGAGCAAACAGCATCACCACAGAACAAACAAGTCCAGAGGCTCCAAGTGAAAAGCCCCAGTGAAACAGTACCAGATAGGACATACACACAGCACATCATCTCCCTGTCATTAAAAACTAATTAGAACATACTTGCTGGCATTGACTCAATTCCTAGGAATCAAAGTTTCCAACCTAAGTGGAAACCTACTACGTTAAACAAACACAGCAACTCAGCACATAGGAGTAGTTTCTCAAAGGCCCCATATAGCAACTTGCTGCTCCGTATATCATCCTGCAAGTCCTGTAAGCAGATTTGCTCTATCATACCATATCTATAAAACTAAGCCCACAAGAAATGACCAGTGTTTGCCAATGGAAGACTCTTCAGCAACTAGATAGCACTCGAATCCATCAATATCTGCTGAGTCTTTTTCTTCCCCATCAAAACGAATTGTTTCTGAAGATATGCTCTTAGGAAAGCACACAGCAGAATTAAGATGGAAGTTTGTTTGCTAAAGATCGATTTGTCACTCCTGAAGTCTAAGAAAAGGCAAAAAACACAGCGTATCTAAAACATACTGTGTCAAAATCACAGCTCAAAGGATAGTTGAGCATTAGATTCTCAGTAAGTACGAGGCATTTCCAGTTGAAAGCAGCCAAATTATGCTATCCAACCAAAAAGCTAAACAAATGTAGCACACTAGGCTTATCTTTGAGATTCAGCAATTAAAAAGTTTATTCAGAGAGGCCCAGAGGGATTTATGTTCCTCTTTGGTACTTGAAAGCCCAGTGACTTAAGGTATTGTCAGATTTCCCAGACTACAAACATGCAGCACAAGAATGTTCAAAAGATAAGCTGTGAAGGTCTCATATTCTGACCTTGTCTCTCCAACACACACTTTGATATCCACTATTACCTCCTATAACATAGGCAACTTCTAAACAATCCAAAGCTCAACAGAAGGAGCTGGGTCATGCAGGAAGCTGACATCCAAGGCTTGCCACTTCCAGGGAGGGAGAAGCAGAGACTGATGCAACTTAGGAAGAGAAAGCAATCTCAACTTTAAATACACATTCCCAGCACTCAAAATAACTCTGCTCACAGATTGAGATACTGCTTTCCTTGTTTCCTCCCACTTCCCCATGGCCAAATTAAACAGCCTCTTGTCTAGTCTTCTTTTTATCCTACGGGCAATGGGGTCCAAAGACTGAGCACAGCCTCACCTCTCATGGCTCACTAATACATCTGCAGGTATTGGTACCATCACTTGGAGATCACCCTCTTCTCTTTCACGGGCATGTAAACATACGAGCTGCAGTTCTGCTAATCCAACATGCTTCACTTCATGCCAGCTTCTCCCTAAAAAGGTCGATAGTTGATGAGAAGGATCAGGACACAAAACACAAGTTTCATTCATTCAAATATTAGGTTTCAAATTTTATTTAACATCTTTGGTTGTTTCCCTCCCTTTCCTCACAGGGCAATTCCCAGGAGAGACAAATAGCCCATTCACATGCCATGTTTCCTTTCTGAGTGCTCCTATGGAGCATTTATTACACTGCCCCCCCGCCCTCCTTTTCAATTAAGCCAGTTCGGGAGAGTTTGCAGAGCTTTAGAATCATAGAATCCTTAGAGTTGGAAGGGACCTTTAGAGGTTCCCTGGTCCAACTCCCCTGCAGTGAACAGGGACATGCACAGCTCCATCAGGTGCTCAGAGCCTGGTCCAGCCAGGCCTTGAAAGTCTCCAGGGATGGGGCACCCACCTCATCTCAGGGCAACCTGTGCCAGTGCCTCACCACCCTCACTATAAAAGATACTCTTTGTTATCACATAACTCTATTCCACTCTTGTAAGGCTCCAAAAGCTTGTTATAATTGTTGCCACCAGGCATCCTTCTTTCCTACAGGAATCTTTGCCCTTTCCAGCCACCAGCATCCTGATCAGGACAGGGCACTTCTGCCCATTGCTAAACTGGACTCAGGGAGATACTATGATTTAGTAGCTTTAATGTTAACATACAGTGTTCTATTGCCACAACAACCACTGAATTTGTAACCTCTCCTTTCTACCTGCCTCCTTCTTCCCCTGCTTCTCTCCTGGCACTGCAGCTGTGGCAGCTGGCCGAGGCAGGCCCTAATCTTTGCAAAGGCTCTGTGCAGGCGCGTGACAGGGATCTGAGGTGCCAAAACACTGTGTTTCTTAGGGAACTATCACTGCGTGAAGTTTCAAAACCACTGCCAAGGACTTTTCTAGGAAAGGCTCAGCCAGTGCACAAGCTTTCATAACACCTGAGTACATGTGAATGCATTTTTGCTACGCCTGTCCGGTCGGTTCATTCAATTACCTTCCAGGAGGTCCAGGTACACCAGGAACGCAGCATAGATCTGAGAGCTGTCGGATATATCGAGGGACATCATTGCTGTGAACTGAATCAGAGTCACAGAATCACAGAATGGCCTGGGTTGGAAGGGACCTTAAGGATGATGAATCTCCAACCCCCCTGCCGCATGCAGGGCCACCAACCTCCACATTTCATAGCAGCCCAGGCTGCCCAGAGCCCCATCCAACCTGGCCTTGAACACCTCCAGGGATGGACGGGGCATCCACAGCCTCTCTGGGCAGCTGTTCCAGCACCTCACCACTCTCTCTGTAAAGAACTTCCCCCTGACATCCAACCTCAATCTTCCCTCCCTCAATTTCAAACCACTTCCCCTTGTCCTGCCGTTATCTACCCTTTCAAAGAGCTGATTCCCCTCCTGTTTATAGGCTCCCTTTAGGTACTGGAAGCCAGAAGGCAGCCTTCCTCAGGGAAAGCTGCAGTTACAGCCATACAGTGGCCAAACCCAGAATCTGCACAGCCATCTACTCAGCCTGAAAGCAGCTGGAGGGGCTAACAGGGCACGAAAAACAGGAGCAGGCTGCTAAGAGCATCTCAAGAGCTTCCCCCCCACCCCGCTTTAGAAAAGCGAATGAAATAAATAAGCGACAGAGGAAGACGCGACTATTTCTGGAACAGAGCTGGCGCTGTGGAGAAAGAAGGGCTCTGAATTTCTGCCGCAGTACATCAACACCAGAGGACGGCCAAACCAAACACCTCGTGTCGGCGGCACGGGGAGCTGCGAGCTCCGGCCCTCCGCCTACCGGATTCCCCGCACGGCGGGCAGCCCGCCCCGCCCCCAGCGCACGCCCGGCCGTACCGTGGGATGAGCGGCCATCCAGTCGCCGCTCCCCCCCGCCCGGCCCTTCTCGGCTCCCGAGCCGCCCTCCGCGTGCCCGCGCGGCTCCTCCGCCCGCCCGGCCGCCTGCTCCTCCATGCTTCCCCGGTGCAACGCGGCCGCGCTCCGGGCAGCACGGCACGGCTCTGCCCGCCGCTGTAGTTCCGCCTCCGCGCCGTTCCTTCACGGGTGGATGCCCCGTCCGTTCCTGGAGGTGTTCAAGGCCAGGTCGGATGGGGCCCTGGGCAGCCTGAAATGTGGAGGTTGGTGGCTCTGCCTGTAGTGGGGGCTTGGAGCTTCATCATCCTTGAGGTCCCTTCCAACCCGGGCCATTGTGTGGTTCTGTGAAACAAAAGCAAAAGCAAACAGTGTGCTGTTATACCCCAAGTCCTTCTGCGCAGGGGGTTCTTCTCGCAGCCCGTCCACGTATCTGGGATTGCCCCAACACCTTGCACTTGGCTGTGTTGACCCTCATTAGGTTCACGTTTCTCAAGCCTGTCCCTCTGGATGGCATCCCTTCGTCCTGTTGCACAGACTGCACCGCTCAGCTTGGCACCATCAGCAAGGTCTGCACGCAAGGGAGCAGCCGGACGGCAGCACTGCTTAGGGGAAACACCAGGACTGAGCTGGGGATGCTCAGATCAGTACAGGGCCTCGCAAGAAACGCTCAGTTGAATGGGGTGGGTTTGGTCCCTGTGTGTGTGGGAGTGAACCATAGAACCATAGAATCACCAAGGTTGGAAAAGGCCTCCAAGATCATCCAGTCCAAGCATCCACCTACCACCAATAGCTCTCACTAAACCACGTCCCTCAACACAGCATCTAAATGTTCCTTGAACGCCTCCAGGGTCAGTGACTTCACTACCTCCCTTGGCAGCCTATTCCAGCACCTGACCATTCTTTCAGAAAAGCATTATTTCCTAACATCCACAGAATCACACAGAGTGGCCAGGGTTGGAAGGGACCTCAAGGATCATGAATCTCCAAGAGTGGGTCCTGGCTTATGAAATAACACAGGGTGCTGTGGCCCAGCTGGAGCGGCCGTGGCTCAGTGTGCTGGGAAGAGCTGGGTGCCAGCCCTGTGTGTCACGCAGCAGCACTGGTCCCCAGTTCCTCCACACTGAGGGGTCCCAGAGCTGCAGCAGCCTGGCTGTGGGACCTCAATCCCTTTGTGCAGATGCCAGTGCTGTTCCTTCTGTGTGGTTAATGAAGCCGAGAGGCACAGTGATGTGTGGCAAACTGAGCGTGAAAGGAAAGCCTCATTAATGTATCGCCCTAGAGGGACAATTAGAAAGATGTCATGAAGGGCAAACAGGAGGAACGCGTCCTCCTTAATTGTTCCGGTGGATGCTTATGGACTGCAGGAGGTTCTCCCATTGCAGCGTCTCTGGAGACCCTTTACAGGAGTTGTGACGGGAGCTCAGGGGACACCTCATCGCTCTCCCGCTGCCTGAAAGGAAGCTGCGGCGATGCGGGGGCCGGCTTCAGCCCGCAGCTAACGGCGGTAGAGTGAGAGGCGATGGCATCCAGCCGTGCCGGGGGAAGCTCAGCTTAGCGACTGGGCTCTTCCTCAACCCCGCAGGTGCGCGGAAGCCACGCGAGGCGTAGCGCGGACCCCTCCCCGCCTCCACCTGCCTGCCCGCCCGCCGCCGGCTCCGCCTTGCAGCCCGTGGGGGCGGGCCGAACCGCGCCGAGCCGAGTCGGGGGAGCCGCGCTGCCCACAGGGCCGGCTGCGGGGCTCCGGGCCGCCGCTGCCCCTCCCCGCGGCCCCGCATTGCCGCCCCGCGCCCATCATGGCTGCGTGCGCAGCGCCCCGCGCCCCCCGTGCCGCTCTCCTCCTCCTCCTCTTGCTCTTGCTGGGCGGCTGCGGGGCCAGCCTGCCCCCCGAGCCGCCGCCGCCGCCGCCGCCGAGCCCCGAGCTGCAGCCGCAGCCCCTGCCGGAGTCGGCTCTGCGGAAGCCCACCGTGCTGCTGGCCATCATCGCCCGCAACGCGGCCAGCGCTTTGCCGCACTTCCTCGGCTGCGTGGAGCGGCTGCGCTACCCCAAGAGCAGGATCGCGCTCTGGTAAGGAGCCGGGGCCGCGCGGTGCTGCGGCGATGGGGATGGAGCGAAGCCGGGCGGCACACGCTCGCTGTGCGCCGCTCCGAAGCCGCAGGACGCGGTGAGGAGGAGCGGTCGGGCGCTGCGCCTCCCGGCTGCTTGCTGAGAAGAGGCGCTGATACGGGCTGTCGGCTGGGGGATGCCTGCCCGCCTGGATCGGGGAGCGCCGCCTGGGAGCGCGGGTGTGCGGAGGGTCGGAGCCGACGGGGGCTGCCTCTGTCTGCGGAGGGGGGAAAAAAAGTCTCTTATCTAGATGTCAATGGTGAGAGCAACGAGACCTGCCCCAAATAGGTGCGTTGGTACGCGTGGAAATGGGGATGTAAGGCCTGACCCGCAGCTTGCTGCGTTCCCACCCCTGGTTGCTGAAAGTATCCCAATGCGTGGGGTATTTGGGGTTATGCTCCCTCCCCACAGCCCCCAGCCACGGATGTGGGTGCAGGGGGTGCGTGCCGTGCCTACCAGTGTGCACATTCACAGGAGTTCTGCTGTTCTGGATCTCATCCCATCAGATTGGCTTTCAGAAAGAGCACAGAGGCACTGGCACAAGCTGCCCGAGGAGCTGGTGGAGTCACCGTGCCTGTTCAAGAACCATGGAGACATGGCAATGAGGGACGTGGTCAGTGGGCACGGTGGGGTGGTCTGGGGTTGGCCTTGGGGGTCTTAGAGGTCTTCTCCAACCATAATGATTTTGTGTGAGTAAATGCCATCAGGCCTCTGCACACCTGTGTTGGAGCAAGGTGTGCTCATTCAGTGTTTGTGGGATGCAGCAGGAGCTGTAGGTGTGGACCTGTTGGTCAGAGCGGAGCTTGGCATGCTTCTTGCTGTAAAAGTGCAGAATAAAGGTTTGTTTTTTTGTTTCTTCAAAGTCCTGCAGAGCACTGATTACCTCTACGACTTTTGTTTAAATGTATTTTTTGCATTATGCTTAATTGATTTACTGTTTCTGCAGTGTAAAAGTGTTTGTGAGGATTGTTTATGAGATTATGACCCAAGATAACTTAAAAATGTGCCAAAGTTTCCATAACAAGTGGGGTGGTACTCTTAAGAGCACTGTGTGCAGACACAAGGCATGGATAGCCTGGAAAAACTTGTGCTGAAAATGGCAAGCTTTTCAAAACAAGAACGTCTAAATGTCACGGCAGCTGAAAAGGCACTGCAGCCCTGGGGAGCTGCACCAGAGAAGCAGCACCTGCAGAGGTGGCAGTTCCTCAATGGCCTTGGGGACACTGGGACATGAAGAGCCCCCTGAGAGGAGACCCACTGAGAAGAAATGATAAATAAAGTATAACATAGTTTGGAAAAGACCTCTGTGATCACCGGGCTCCATAGCTGAGCTGAATCCCGTGGCTGAATTCCAGGATGTCCCATGTCCCTGTGCTGTGCCTTTGGGCTGAGTGGCAGTGGAGTGGTGGCTGTTGCATTCCTTTGCTGCCACTCGTCTTATACTTAAAAGCTTCTTGAGTAAGTCAGCATTCAGAAGTACCCAAATGTAGATCTTCAGAATGCAGGTTAGAAACACGTATCATCTCTTTAACTTCCATATGGGCTATGTGTTGCTTGAGGGCTTAAATTCAGCAGTGGATTCCTCAGATTTCTGGGGTGGAAGTTTTTGAGTGACAGCAAAGATGGGTCAGGAGATGAGGAATGAGTTTGAAGCAGACATGGAATTTTCTGTGTCAGTACGTGCCAGTCCTCATTAGCCTGCTCCCTAACAAGCTGTACCCCAGGCAGCCTTGTACTCTGTTCTTCCCCTTGGTCCTAATGCTGATTTGTGGTGGTGGTGAGCAGCCTGGGAAGGACTTGCTGGCTGCATACGCCCTAATGAATTGAGCAGGCTGCTTGGTTGGAGGCCAGCTGGCATGCTGCAACCCGGGTCCTTGCAGTTAAACGCTTCCTTCCTTCCCCCTCCAGGAATTGGGAGGCCTGTTGGGAACAGACCCTCGCCTGCAATAACCCTGGCCACCTTTGGGGCTGTTTTTCTTGTTCTGAACGAGTGTAGAGATGGGTTTATTTCTTTGAAAGAAATCCACTCAGTTATAGGCTGTGGATGCTCCATCCCTGGAGGTGTTCAAGGCCAGGTTGGATAGGGCTCTGGGCAACCTGGGCTAGTACCAGGTCTGGAGGTTGGTGGTCCTGCCTGTGACAGGGGGTTGGAACTTGACAATCCTTGGGGTCCCTTCCAGCCCAAGCCATTCTATGATAGATAGGACAATTTTGGCTGGAGTGAGCAGAGTAAAAGTTTATGTATTCAGCAGTTATTGCTGTGGCTTACACTTCCCTTATGCTTAGATGAGGTGTCTGTGCAGCAGGGAAAGCTGTCTGTAATTTCACCTTTAAATGCCTGTTAGCAAGGGGCTGTTTGCTGTCTCATCTTTTAGCACCCCGGGGATTAAGGACTTGTGTAAATGAGTTGGCACTGAGAAGCAGGAACTGGGTTACTGTTGAAAGCCTGAGCCTGTCCTGCAGAATGGAGTCTCCTTGTGCTTCAGAAATGGCAATGTGAGCTGGGGAGTGGGGGGGAAGGCTGGGTGTTGAGTCACTGGAGATGCTGTTATGCTGCTCCAGGGAGAGAGTGGCTTGGACTCCAAAGAGCAAGTGGTAGCCAAAATTAGAAGCTGATGAGATCAGTGCAGTAATGACAACTTTCATAATTACACATCATTAGCCTACAGCTAGCTCATGATACTGTATCTAAGTGTCTTCTTATTCTACAACAGTTTACTTTTAAATGTGAGGAATTCCACATGAAGATACTTGCTGGCAAGATGCAGAGACCATTGGAAACCTTGGTGGGCGTTAGGTCTCCCTGGGAAGCATTGGCTTTCAGGTGTGCTGCTTTTGCTTCTGTTGGTGCAACAAGGTCACATCTACCTTCACAACCAGCATCACTTGGTTGGGAGTGCTAAGGCTGCATCCTGCTGGCTCTCATCACAGACTAACGTGGAGTGGGATGGGACCTGCACAGCCTTGGAGCTGTGAGTCCAGTGGCTAACGTGTTGTGCAACATCCTGTGCTGATCTCTCCTCCGAAGGCCTTGTACTGAAGTAACAACATCAGGAGGAAGTTTAGAAGTAAAATACTTTACTTCCTAGC